TGTTGCGGCATATGAGGCGGGGGAATGGGGAGGCGATGGGTGCCAGGGGGTCCGGGAGCACAAAAAATAAGGCAGCTCACACACAGACAGACCCATGCGATCTGGACGCTGGCTGGCAGTATTATTTGCTGCAGTCGGAAATAACTCAACCGCAAATGAGATAAATTGCGCGCACACAGATAATTGCATGGAGGCCCCCAGACGGCGTTGTGGCATGGAAATGAAATACATTGCACATACGCCGCGTTGCCAGCTCTTTTTTTCCCTTTTCGGCTCTTTGCAATTTTTTGTATATGTGCGTCGTCGTCCCAAAGCAATCGGCATGTTTGTGACTCTCCAGTGTGTGCGTGAGTTTCCTTTTTCGGCCGCTGTACAAATATTTATGTGGTTGCGAACACACACACACACAACGCACACTCCGACACCCAAACACTCAGACGGACGTGTAATGAGAAAATATTGCGCATACGCACTGTACGCTCATTAAAGGCGATCGCTGATGGCACTCACCGGGCTCGCTGGCTAATAGCTAGTTGCATTTATGTACAATGGGAATAATGGAAAGGCTTTCTCAATTCAAATCAATTTTGGGCTAACAAAATAATGGCTTTTCATAGCATAGCTTTAATTCCCTTTAAAATTCCTTAAACTTCGGCAAGAGTTTCTTTAGCAGAACTTTCATTTAAATATGAGCGTTGATAGTTGTATATATATAATTGTAGCTATGTACCTCTTTACGGCACTTGTGTAGTAACTTTGCACGAGTTCGATTTGTCTAATGAAAAACAGAACGATAAGACTGCGGGCCGGCGTCTAATTAAAGTTGAGTTGAGAAGTACATTCGAAAAATTCGATATTCTTTTAGGATGCAGTATACAGTATACAGTATGGGTCGCTTACGTTCATATACACTTTACGGATATACATACACACACATTTAGGAGAACGCTTAACATGGATGTTTAATTGATTTAACTATAAATTTGATTTATGCTGCTTCAATGTAGGTGTCCTTCGCTAAGATTGTGACTAATAAATGTACGCTATGCTAAATACGAGTTGCACGCTCTTTATCGTTATCGTTATAATCCGTATCTTTGTCAATTTTAATTGAATTGTTGCATTATTGTCGTAGTTTACGTTAATTTACCTCCTAACATAATCAGTGGATAAGCATTTTCCTATGCAAAACGATTTAACTATCTCTCTTCTCTCTTTTCTGATATGATACGAATAATTGGCTTCCTTCCCCTGGCTTCTCCATATATTACACACTCTTTATCCTGTACACACGAGTCCTAATCAGCGTAGAAGCAGATGTGCCAATTTGTAATTGTAATTTTTGGCAAGGCAAACAAATAGTGAATGGAGAAAGAAACAACTAGCAATCGATTCGCTGGCATTTCGATGGGACGCTAACACTCATATTCGAGGATGAAACCCTCTCCCTTGGACGTGGACCTCGAATGTTGCTGATGCGGCAGCAGTGGGGCAGTTGTTGCTGCCGCTCCACTGGACGATGTTGCTGCTGTCGCTGCGGCTGCTCTGCTTAAATTTACTTGTGACAACATTGCGGTGGCCGTTAATTTGCCATTGTAGGCAAGGGCGGGATTCAGAGTGGGCGTGGCACCGTGTCCGTAATAGTTCAGAGCGGAGGTGAGAGGCACGGATTGCTGTTGTTGCTGCTGCTTGCCACGACGATGTTGTTGCTGCTGCTGCTGTTTGGCCATATAATCCGTGCTCGTACATCCAGCATTTCCAGTGGCATTGCGCAACGTTATGAAGGTGTCGAAGTTGTCGGCGGTCGAGGAGGCGTTCGAGGTGCTCGAGTTTCGGCGGTTGCCCAAATGTTGTTGCTGCACTTTGGGCGCGGTGGGTTGCAGGTTCAGATTGAGCTTCAGTTGCTGCTGCTGCTGTTGCTGCTGTGACATTGATGAGTTCGACGAGGAGGAGTTGGACAGCGAGGAGGAGTTGACCGAGTGCGCGGGCGGGTGTTGCTGCTGATTCGCATAGTATTTGCGCAAATTCTCCAGCATATAGCGATTGTTTGCATTTCCGGCTGAGCTTCCAGGGACCGATGTTGCTGCTGTTGCTGCTGCTCCCGATGTTGTTGCTGCTCCTCCTAATGCTGCTGCCGCTGGCTCTGGCTTTGGCTGATGGAACTGCGGCCCTGCGGTTGGCGTCGGCATCGTTATCTGCTGCTTGCTGCTGGTGGCGTACAGAACATCCCCGCTTTGTCCCGGCAGCGCCAAATTGATGACACTGCCTGTTGCAGCTGGCATTGCGGTTGCTGCTGCTGCAGCCGGGATTGCTGCGTGCTGTCGCTCCATCTCCATCGGCAGTCCACGGGTCCTGCTCGCCCCCTTGCCCCTGCTGCTCCCCGACTGATAGCTGCGGGCGTAGTGGGCCTCCATGAGGTCCGCCCTCCGCTGCCTGGCCGCATCCGGCTGTTCTCCTCCGAATCCGTAGAACTCACCCCGCGGATAGAGCGCCGAGTTGGAGGCCCTTTCGTAGTTCCTGCTGCCCCGCTGTCGCGGGAAGTGCTCCAGGTAGCTCTCCCCCCTTTCGCCCACCAGGAGATTCTGGTCCTCCAAACCGACAGCGAGGACATCGTCGCCCACCTCCTGGCGCTGCAAGTGCTGATTGAGGGACTGGTAGAATGTGCTCTCGGCCAGATTCTCATTATAGGATGTCGCACTCGCCGGCTGATGCCAATCAGCGTCTTCGCATTCGTTCACGCTGACGCGAATGCGTATGTCGCGGGCCATATAATCGGGCCTCCCGCCAGCCGCCTCGTCCTCGTTACCCAATCCTTCTGCCCCCGCATCCCCATCCTCGTCATCCTCTTCCTCCTCCTCGTCGTCGTAAAAGAATCTCGCTGATTTGGCGCTTTCCGCCAGCAGCAAGTCCTCACTCTCCTCCAAAGCCAGCGCATAGCTCGTTAGGTTGTCAAAGTAGTATTCGCACATTTTGTCCGGGTGCTCGTAGCGCAGCTTAAAGTCCTTGGGATTGGAATTGGGATCAGGCTCTAGTTCCTGCTCCTGTCTGTGGCTGGTCGTGGGTCCACTGAACACCGACGCGTAGTCCGAGCTGCTCATCGAATCCGAGTGGAGGGCAGAGCTCCTAACCTTCGACTTGGACGCAATGGGCAGGGTTCCGAGGTTCTCGTAGTTAGCACCATAGTTCGCAGCCTGCGATTGACTCCGCTTGTGCCTTGGCCGCCGGGGAGTCTCTGGGGCAGCAGGAGGATTGGGATCGGGCTGCTTGGCCAGAGCTTTGCGCTGGGCTCCACTCACCCGACCCACCGAGTGGGCCGACTGCTTGGTGCCGCTCAGCTGGTGGTCAAAGTTCTGCTCCAAATAGGCATCCAAGTAGTGCAGGTTCTTGCTGAGATCGATCTCCGATTTGTAGCTCTTGTAGATGGTGGCCTGTTTGCAACGCGATTCGTAGCTGGAGATGTGCGCCCGATCGCTGATGAAGCGGAAGCTCTCGTCCTTGGCCAAAGTGTGGAAGCCACTGAACTCGGAGCTGCTGCTGCCACCTCCTTCCCCCGAGGTCGTCTTGAAGTTCCGGCACTTGTCGCGTATCTTCTGGATGCCCTGACGCGTCTTGGCCTGCAGTCGCTCGAAGTAATTGGCCTTGGTCACCGGCGAGGTGGAGTGATTGAGTCGCGGATGGTAGGCAGTGGTGTGCTGGATGTCGTAGCCTCCGCCGCCGGAGGCTCTCATGCTCTGGATGCTGTGCGTCCTGTTGGGATAGCTCAGCTTTAGCTTGGGCAACGAAGGTGGCTCCTCGACTGCTCCGGCTCCTGCTCCTGCTCCTCCGCGGTGGTGCAACTTTCTCAGCGACAGCTGCTTGAAGATGGCCCTCGATCGCTTGGGTTTGCCACTGGCGGAGGTGTTTGTCCTTCTGCTTATAGAATCCCCAGGATCGTTATCAAAGTCCTGCCGCTCGAAGCGCCGCACTGGTACTCCATGCAGATAGTGATGTTCGGAGGGGGTATGCTGACTACCCCGACTACTGGACTCGAACAGCCTTCGCAGGCCACGATTCTGCCTTTGGGGTTGCGGTCGCGAACTCCTCGCATTGCCCGCGACCCTCAGTCGCGTATTAACGCTCAGCGTTAGAATCTCATCGTCGTGGAATATGGAGAAGGGATTCGTGATCACCGTGGAGCTGTCACCCGCGGATTGCTGATGGCTGCTGGAGGGGCTGCTCATCAGGCTGCTTACGGATCTAGTCTTAAGGCTAACGCTACTCCTAGGCCTACTACTTATGGCTACTTCCTGCTGCTGCTGCTGCTTACTCTCTAGTACAACTACAACTTTGGCTTCACTGTGCTGCTGCTGCTGGCCACTAACTTGACCCTTTCCCTGACCCAGATCCGTTTCGGATCGGGAGCGAATAGAGGGCGGTACAACCCCACCCCTTCGCCGCAGCTCCTTCAAGGAGTTGCTCTGCTTGCGGAAGCGGTAGAAGGGATTGTTGATGCTCAGCTTTTGCAGGAGCACCTGGGTCTCCTCGGGCGTGAGGGGACCCACTGGCAGGGGATCCACTACCTGATCCTGCTGCTCCCCGCTCGTCACATTCAGGTGGAGCAACTTGGGAGCCGTGGGCGGTTTAATCTCCCTGTTCATATTATTCTCCAAATCCCGCTTGCTACTCTTGCTGCTGGTCAGCGAACTATTGCCCTCACTGTTGCTACTGTCGCTCTTGTCGCTTGTATTCCTGGCCACCTCTGAGGTGGTCTGGCTATTATCGCTATTGGAACTGATTTTGTGGTTGTTGTTATTATTGTGGCTTACATTAGTGTCATCAAGTCGCTGTTCGTTAGGTGACGCTGTCGCGTTTGGGTCGTCCGTTTGGTCTGTCAGTTCGTGTTGCTGTTGCTGTTGCTGTTTATGTGGCGTTAGCTGTTCGTTGGATTCGCTAGTAGTGGTGGTATCAATTGCCTGCTAGACCCTAGTGGGCGGTTGTAATATCATTGCAGCCATGCGTACCTTCATTGCCTCCGGCGATCCGTGTCCCGGGTACTGTTGCTGCGGATGTTGCGATGCGGCGTGTAGAGCCGCTGCCGCTGCTGCTGCTGCGTGTTGCTGCTGTTGCTGTTGTTGCTGCTGCTGCTGTTGCTGCTGCTGCTGGTGATGATGGAAGCCCGCGGGCGTGGTGTAAATCGAATCACCTTGAGGGCCACTCGTGCTATCCGAGCGTGATTTCAAATCAGCTTTTTCGCTGTGGGCAACAGAAGAAGAGAAGAAGAGATGAGACCAAATCGTTATCGAAAATTGTTTGCCCAAGTGACAATTGTGTGGGTGGTGGTTAAGTGGTTGGGTCGCCTTCTACCGCTGATTGGCAAATTGTATCCCTCACGCATATCTGAATATCTATTTAGTTTTTGTCGCTGCCTCGCCTCGCCGCAGGCAATTGTTTACTTGGGGTTTAGGAAATTAGATATTCCCCCCTGCCTTTCACCCCATCAATTTGCTCTCGAGATTTCGACAGAAATTCAGCCTACAAAACGAATTTTGTGGAAATGTGGTCAAGGGACGTACTTGAAATGGAAATTCCAAATCCATTTCCGTTCTCTTTTTCATATTGACCCATTTATTGGGCCCGTACACTGGTATGTGTGTAGTTTAATAAACAACATATAGTAATTTTAAACTCCTAAACTAGAGGAGCAAAAAAGTGGAGAGCGGTGAACGAACAAACAACCTCTCATAACTCATATTCCGGGGTTTTGGTTGCAGGGCCAGCAAAAAACAATGAGCGATAGGTTGTTTTCCTCTTTTCATATTTGCTATTGGAAAACAACAAATTACTCAGATACCCTTTGAACTGTGTATTATGACTGGACACTAGGTTTTATAAAAAATTGACTTTGAAATTTATAACTAGATTTAATCTTAAGAAAAATAATTTTTGGATAAGTTCGCCAGGACTCGAATTTTAAGTATACTGTTTCTTTATAAACGTAGGTCTTGTTAAGATAAATATGACTATCATAATAAATGTATAATGGTTAATAAATATGCCTTATTTAAGTCTTATTTAAAATGTTTGTAGTTATATTAGTAAGGGCATTAGCAAAGCTCATGGAATTAAGTGGGATTATTATGCAAAGAAACTTATTTTTTTCACTTTCTAAAGTTTTTATAATGTTTTTATTCTCTAAAATAATATTATTCGTTTAATCCGCTTTATAGACTTAATCCCTTGCGAAATGACCAACTATTTCGACCTTGTGTGAGGGTATTTCTGCTTTGTTCTTGGCCAAACAAAAATGCTCGTTCGTCGGTGCATATATTGAAAAATATATGAAAAATGTATAATATTTTATGTCCCGCACACAAATACACACACACACACGTGCACGTGCAGTGGAAAACATTTTTCATTGTTCCAATGCTGTACGTGTGCGTCTGTATTGGTGAGCGAGTTCCTGTATTCGACCAGTAGGGGCGCATAAATTGGCACGCCAGCGCCACCTGTTGGCTCCAGGATGCGGCTGCATAAAAATATATCAAAATGGTCATTTATCTATGGCCCCTATACCCCATATAGGGGGTTGTGTGCGAGGGTGTGCGAACAGGGAAAGGGTGTGTACGTATTACGCTTCAACTTACCTGTCTTTATCCGATGATTTATAGCCCGTGGAACCTGTGCCATGCGAGAAGTGAAGGGATGGAGAAAGAGAAGGGGGAGATTTCATATTAGAGCTGGCAATATTCAGGAACATAAATCCCACCCATTATTCTGTGAAGGGTGTGGTTGTGTGACTGGTTGCAAAATAGTAGAAATTAGCTGTGAAAATACCGCTGGCAATTTACAAACAGACAGCTAGACAGAGGGATATATATTTTTGAAATTCGCCCTTGGAGCCGTGATAAATGAGGCAAGGACTTATTGATTGCGAGGAACGTGTAAATTCCCGAGGAGCTGTTTGCAAATTTTGATGGATATCGAAGGGGTGAAGGATCCCCGGCTCCTCAGCCAGAGATATACATACGTGTGTACAATATGCCATAGTATCGGGTCGCACTTGAGAGATCTGTCAAACGGCATTTGACAACTGGAAGGCAGCTGCAGCAGTCAGTCAGCCAGTCAAATTGACAGCTTGATTGACAACTGAGAAATTGCGATTAGGTGGCTGGGACTCTGAGCCAGAAAAGTGTTTACAGATCAAGGGGATGTGAATGGATGCAGGAATGGCTCAAATGTCCTTCAGCAATGGCAAAGTTTCCTCCCCCGCTTCTTTGCAAATTGTTTTACAATTGTAAAAAGTTTCACCGCTTTTTGTCTGCGTTTTGATTTCTAATTAGGCAGCGAGCAGCTCTGGCTTAAAGCCATTTTCCTCCGCCGAAAGTAGAGATGTGAAATGTTGGCGCAGCTAACAAAAAGCTGGCTGGAAACCCTTAACCCTTTTGTGTGCTCAGGGGGCTGGGGGAAAAACAGGAAACGGAGACTGACCGCAGGCGTTGGACGCTAATGAATATTTTATGAGATTTATTTGAGTTTCGAGTTTCAAGGAGAATAGGAAAAAGCAAAAAAAGAAGAATATGGACGAAAAAGAACCAACACAACACACACACAAAGCGCTAAAGAGACGCATCCATCCTGGCAGCCATTTTTTCCGCCATGACCGACCGCGTCCTTCTCGCATTTCAATGCTTTGTGAGCTGGCAAGTTTTTGTGTTTTTGCAATTAGTGTGACAGCGGCCTTGGGGGGTTGCTTTGGATTGGGTGGGGCGGGGGGTTTGGGGCGAAACAGGCGCCATAATCAAGGAGGAAGTTTTAATTGTCGCGGCCTTGACGGTACTGGGTGTGCAATTAATACGGGCCCTATGATTGTTCTTATGGGTGGGGATTTTCCCCCACTTTCCCCACTTCGACTTACCCTTGAAGCAGCATCTCTTGCTCTTGATCGCATAGATACAGAGGCAAACCAGCAGGAGGATAGCGGCCATGCAGCCCCCGGCCACGCCCATCAGATAGCTCATCTCGTAGGGTTCTGTCCGGAAATTCCATACGATTCGATACACGGTTGGGTGTTCGATGTGGTGGTGGTGGTGATGATTATGCAAGCATTAAGGGGAATTTTCATTTTCATATGCACAAGATATAATATGCAATACATTTTCATTGCACGTGCGATTGATTTTAATTAAAATCGTTGGGGTGCGATGCGAGGGATGTGGTTAATGTATAATTGGTTCCTATTTCGTGTCTACTCTTTTTTAGCATTTATAAATAGGAATACTTATCAAAAACTCTTTTTGGGCTTACTCAATTTGTATAACAAATGAAATTAAAAAAAAATGTATTTATATTAATGTGCCTTATTTACGTCTTAAAGTATTTTTTAAGAAATAAATTTAAGCTAATTTAATTTCACTTAATTTGTTTTGCCATTAGTGCATAAAGTAAAATTCAAATAAAATATTGTTTTATAATTTAAAATTTAGTTACTTATAATTTCTGAACTTTGCAACTGCAAGTGACGCTCGAATATGAAATGATTAGAGATGTGTAACTCAGTTGTAAAGTCGGTGCTTTGGGTTGGGATAATGTGGGCTGGGGTAAATAAAATCAAAGAAAAGTCTATGCACCTGCAAACGTACCCTCCACAATCAGGTGTATGGCATGACGATCGGTGCCCCGCTCGTTCTCCACCACCAAGTAGTAGGGCCTGGAGTCGTGCTCGTCCGCGTGGAGGATGTGCAGGGTGGACAGGTAGCAGTCCTCCCGAGTGTCCGGCTGCATGTCGTCGGCCCGGAAGCGATCTGCGGGTGGTGGAAGAGAAAAAAACAGGAGAGTCCTTGTTACTGCGAATTCCAACGGCGAATTGGCTTTCGTGGGCTCTAAGTAATTGCACTAGAATTGCACACAATTTGTCGGCGGCCGACATTAATCATTCGATTCGATGGGCTAACTAGCATTGGACGCGGAAAAAGGAGGGAAGGGAAAAGGAGAACGGACTGAACGGGAATGCGCTTCGTTTGATTTGTGTCAGTGGCAGTGAAAGCACGCAGGATTACACGCACGAAGGACGAGCAAGGATGGACACGGGCAGACAAGCTGAAAATGAAGAATAATGCGACCCACAGACCTAGGACCAGGGTTGCCAACTCAGCTACTTTTTAGTAAATGTATGGCTATTATAACTGGACTATCATCTGATAAAAAATACAACTTTTTAATGTGAAAACTCTACGATATTTTAATTAAAGTAATTTAAAATATAATTTCCCTAAAATGTGTTTTTAAAGAAGTGTTTAAATTTGTTGTTTGGCAGTGGCAAGATTTAATGGTTAAAAAAAAGTATTTATCAGCTGTAAATAATTAAATGACCCTCTCTCATTTCAACAAAAAAAGCTACTCGCACTTGGCTAATTATTTGTAATTTAATGTACCAATTTTCAGGTAGAGCCAAATCAGGTAATCAATAGTTGGCAACAATGGCCAACACTGGTTGGCGGGGATGCATTTCAAGTTCAGGGAGAGGGGGAAAAGGGATGCGGGGCAGAGATGCTGCTGCATCTGCTGGCGGATGTTCATCCTGAAAGAGTTTCAGCTGGAAAATGAGCTGGGTTGTGTGTGTTGCCTGTCTGTTGAAGCTCGGATTACCGGCGGCTGACAGGCGTGGGAAGTCTGCCCGAGGCACCGCCTCCTCGACCCCAATCCCTTCCAACATCGGACATGACACTGCCAGTTTCTTGTCCGACTCTGACTCCGTTCGGTCATGTAATTTGTCTTGATTTGCGGAACAACCCTGCGCGATTCGCCACTTGCGATTGTGCGACTGCTCAGCGCCGAACCCTTTTTGCAGGAATAGTTAATCTAATGAGCCCTCGAGCGGTGGCCCTAGCCATTCTGCCGTTCTGCATCCTGTAAAGCGGCGCTAATTGAATTCCGAGTAGGCAAAACTAAGTCCAGCGCCTAATTGCATTACCATTAGCGCGGGCCAATGGGGCGGATGTGAATGCTGAACGCTGAGCGGTAACTGCCTATCAAACAAGTATACGCACCGATGCCCGAGCCGGCCTCCAGACGCAGAGATCCCCATTCCCAGGCGACGCGCTGTGGCCGCGGATCCGCACAGACGACCATTGTCAGGCTGGCTGCCTCGCCGCGCTTCACGGATACGGTGTGCAGGGAGGGGTGCAGGCGCAGCACCTGCGGGGCACCTGCAAGACAACGGAAACAGGGTGAAAAATGCATAAAGGAATCGCGTTTAGTACGGCCAGATGACTTTTTAATTGAGTTGGTGTGGCGCAACGCATTCGCCGAGCCGCAATGCCAAAGATAATTATTTAGAGTGGCCAAAGGGTGCAGTTCAAGCACCCCCACCTGCCATTTCAATTGCTTTAAAGGTGAAAGGATCTGGGACAGGCGAGCATTTAGTACAAATTAGTCTTTAAGTCCAGGTTCTTTAAAGAAAACCGAGTTCAAGAAGTTCACAATTTTACGATTATTATGGCGAGGGATATTGTCTCTAGTTTCGCCAAGTAAACTGTTACTTATAAAAAGTAAATACATTTAATAGGATAAGGTAAAAAATAAATAAATAAGAAAATTAGTAAAATTTCCACAAATAGTATAATTTAAACGAGACCAAAAAAATCGTATTTTAAACAACAGTGAATTCTTGAGATATAAAAGGTATTGCCAGCATTTTGGTCTTGCTTTTAAATTTCTGATACAATAATATTTAATATTTATATATTTTAAATGGTCTTTAAGCTTTGGAATCTTTGTACTCTGCAATTTTGCTTTTAAATTTCTGATACAATAATATTTAATATTTAAATATTTTAAATGGACTTTAAGCTTTGGAATCTTTGTAGTCTGCATTTTTAGCTTGGTGTATTCAAGGTATTGTGTGGTAGTGGTGATATTCCCTTTTTTTGACACTCTGGATAGCCGTCGTAGTTAGTTAGTTAGTTTGTTAGTTACTTGACACTCACACACACGTAAATATGTATAAATGTGGTGCAGACTTTTTTCGTGTGCATGTTTATTTTTGTGCACTTTTTTTTGGTCGCCGGCTCTGCTAAATTGCTCGTGTCCTTGGTTGGTCATAAATTATGTACGTGCTGTGGTATTCAGCACTAAATTTAAATATTTCTTGCTGCTCTTTTTTTTTTAGAGTTTTTCCTTTTTTTCCTCCATTTTTCTGTCCAGTTTTTCGCCCTGGGCAGTTGCAGCTCCATTTTTTTTTCCGCCGGCGCTGCGGTCATAAGTTCATTTTGATTTTGTGTTACGTTTTGGTTTAGTCCGTTGCCCAGTTGCTAGTTGCTAGCCACCGCGAAATTGCATGGTATGGTGAAAATGCCAGGGAAATCTAGGGGAAAGTGGGAAAGCGACGAGGAGGTGGCAACGCAAGCGCTTAAAATGTTTTGCAGGCGCTTTCCGGCTGCAGCTTTTAATGTAGTTTTGTTAGTTGTTTTAAGTGTGCATTAGTTGCACGGGAGCTGCGCGAGGGGCGGACTTAAATGAGTAGCCCGAGGAGGAATAGGTTTAGGTTTGTGTCTTCCTTTTTTCCGGTTGCGTTGTCACCTTCTCTGTGGCTATGCTGGTCATCTCCATGACACTGGTTTCCATTTTTAGCAGTCCGGTCTGGGGCAAAAATTGACATCGAAAAAAGGCAAAGAGAGCCGGGATGCAGATTTATGACCGCAAACATGGTCGTCCGTTCCCTTAGCCCACGATACACTTTCCGGTGGGTCGGTTGGCAAGTCCATGCCGCAGCGCCCCCCAGAATCCTAGAGGATTCCACTGCGTGTCAGGTGGAAAACATGCAAGTTGCCGACCAGGCCGTGTTGTCGTCATATTTCGTGGCATTGCGGTTTTTATGGCCACGCCACACTGGCCAAACAGCAGATACAAGCTCTGCTGATAGGGACTTACCCACAACTTGCAGCGACACCGGATCGGATATGGCCACCCGCTCCTGGCCATTGATGTAGCTGGTCGCCCGGCACTCGTACTCTCCCTGGTACTCGTAGGTGACGTTGTCGATGACCAATCTGGACTCGTGGCCCCGCTCCACGTACTTGGATCCATGGGCCATTCTGAAAAGAAAGCAGGGAAAACCAGAAAGAAGTTATTATTATTATTTCTGCAATTGAATACTACTTAAAACCCAGGATAAGTCGGTACCCCTATCAAAAGACTCGGTCTGTGGAGCAATTGATTATGATTATGGCCAACTAATATAGGGATTCCATCATCTGGTCACGGCCTCACTGGCATGGTGCATGCTTTCCAGCTCGCTCTTTGAGCTGCCCCCAGTTGGACAAAATGAAACTGATGCATGCAGCATTCCATCCCCCCATCCCATTCCATCCCATGAGTCCTCCGCTGCTGCAATCCTTGCCTGGCAATATTGAAAATTGCGTATGCGTATGAGTTATTTTTCGGTGCAGGCTGCCAGCCCGACTCACAGACAGACGACGACGAGTGGGCCAAAGAGAACTGGCTCACAGAAATATTTGATACATTTTTAATATGAGAAATGCCTTTCAAGCTGCGAAATGCTCCGGGGTGCCCGTTCTTCAGTCTGCCCACAGATTCTTTTGAGGGAGCCGCAAAAAAGGGAGGAAAAAAGAAGGCGCTTTAACCGATACATTCATTCGATGGAGCTTAAAGTGCCAGCAAGGATCTTTAAGTCGCTCCTTGGCAACTAGCAATTAAAAGCAATAAATTAGAAAGCCATTCGAATGCAAATCTCCAAAGTGGAAAAAGTTTGGCAAGCGCTTCTCTTTTCGATTCGCAGGTCCAGAGAGAGCGGTGAAATCACGTAAATCAAAGTGACAGGACTTCGTGTCCTGTGTCGTGTCCTTGGGTACCTCATTTGCAAGGCGCCCGCCCAGCGGTTGCACTTGCAGCCCCGTCGAAGGACACAAGGACAGCCACGTGGGACGCCACCCACCTGGGAGGAGATTAAGGAGCTGCCGAGCATACGTCGCCTGGCCTGTCAGCGGCTCACTTCGTGGCATTGATTTATTACCCACCGGTTCCAAATGGGCGACTCCCGCTGTTTACCCAACACGGCACGCGCCATTTAATTCGGCGGCGGTGGGTGGCGGTGGCGGTGTAAGTGGGTGGATTGGGGGCGTGTGTTTGGAGAACATGCGTGGAAATTAGTTTTCAACAATTGACATTTAATTTCTGATAAACACGCGCGCATTCGCTTCATTAAGTCAACACGTCAATGTGTTGCATGTGGCATTCGTTATTAGATGGCGACACCTTCGCAAAACAACCTCCCATCCCATGCTTATTGCTGTATACTATATATATATATTCGCCCGATCACGATCTGGCGGAGCTGTGTATGTTTTATGTTGGCCCAATTGTCTGGGGGCAAGTGCAAACAAATGGAATCACAAAAATCACGTACTTATGTGGCAGCATCAAAGAGCAGCGAGGCCAGAAAAGCCGGGATGATGCCACCGACGGAGAGGGAGAGCGCTATACAGACAGTCATATGCATGAGGAGTGTTTCGATTTTTCCACAGAATTTGCCTGCTTTGCATACTAATGCATAAAGTCATCAGCGACCGAAGCAGAAACGGAAGGAGCCTAATCCTACAGGCATTATAGATGGTTTCTTGCTACCCTAACGAAAGGAGGCTATATTGGGTCTAAAGCTTAAGTTAAGATTTCGTAAAATTCCTATTTGAGTATAGAAAAACGTCTGTGGAAAAATCTTACATTCAATGTTTTTGCAACAGGGTTTACTAGCGTTTTTTGTGTAACTTAGCTATTCTTAATAAAAGGTCTCTTTAAAATCAGCATATGTATATTTAACTAATTTGTTACCATCAGATCTATTCTGAAGTATAAATTACAGGGTACCACAGATACAGCATGTCAAAAAGCAATCCTTGTTTCGTGTTGTTTTCCCTCGGTTCAGACAATTTCCGCTGAACAGCTAATTAAAATTACGCAAAATATCATCAGCTTTGTTGGAAAAGGGCGTGGTGCCCTGTAAAAGGGAAATGTGCAACAGGAAACGTGCTCACGTAAGAGGGAAATGCTGTTCCCACAGGCAGGCAGCCTTAAAAAGGCTACTTCTTGCTGGGGATGCTAAATTTACCTAATTATTGCATAAAGTGCAGGCATTTCTTCGTCTTAGAAGGCGGGACAAATATTGCGCATACGCAGAATGAACAGAGTTTAATTAGCGCTACCATTCAGCCGACTACAATAACCGGCCACGAGACCAGCGAAGTATACAGTTGAGGAGCCACGTATTTAAAGCAAGAAAACTGAAGTTTTCAACTGAACCTGGAAGAGCCACCAAAAGTATGCAACGCAAACTGAAGAATAACTTCAACCGCAAGTTATGCACACGGAGAAAAACCAATTTCTAATAAGCAGAATCGATTTAGGTAAAACCGAATTCGTTATTGGAACTTGGGTCTTTTCCAAGAACAATTAATACTTGTTGGCGAAATTACATAAATGAAAACCCTTAATCCTTCTTTAACGCGAATTGTGATAAAATAATTAGATTCCTAGAAAAGCCTTCACGATAATGGCCTTAATTTTGAATATTGAAAAAGGAGAATCCCTACACCAAACGGCCGTGTTCCCAGTGTACAAATATATGTACATGTCGATGGACTCACCTCTGTACCCATTTGAAGGATGGCAGGGGATTACCATCAGCCAAGCACTCGAAGGCGGCAGGACTAAAAAGCGGGGCGGTGGTGAGGCGATCCGGGCCAGCTGAAATAATTTTGGGAGGATCTGGAAGGCAAAGAGAGAGGTAGACAGGGAATAAAAACAGGGTAGGGTGAAAACTTTGTCCAAGGTAAATAGTAAGATACGTACATTTCACATCCAACTGCACCGACAGCTGCTCGGAGGTGCCCACCGAATTCTGTGCCTGGCAGGTGTACAATCCGGCATCGCGGCGTCCGACGGGACGCAATTGCAGAGTTTCCTGTGGGAGAAGCCAGAAAGAAGGACACGAAGGAGGTGGACCGGATCAGCAGGCAATTTAATACAATTACAACATTTCTGCTACACTTCAGATAAATACCCAGTCTGTCCCTGGCTGAAGCAATTTGGGAACAACATAAACAAGTTGGGGATGGCTTGGCTGCAAGCTTACCTGCAAGCTGGCTATCTCGGAGCGACCGGCCCGCCGCCAGACGATGCTGGCCGGCGGATTGGCATCGGCCACGCAGCGCAGGACCAGCGCATCCTTGTCCTCCTCCAAGTCGATTTCCGGCGAGCCAATTAGACGGATGCTCGGCGCGTCTGCGAGAAAACAGAAATAGAAACAGAAACGGAGACGTTCAACTTGGTTAGGCAAAACAAAAACAGCAATTGAAACTACAGAAACAGAAACGGAATCAGCCATAGAATGGCAGCCAAGCAAACAGAGTCAACAAGCCGGGCGGGCAAGTCCTGCAAGTCCTGGCCACGTCCTTTGGGACAAGTCAACTCTTGAATTGCTCAGCAAAACAGGAAATTACAGCAAATTGTTGTTAATTTAATTGTTACAGCCCTCTGTCTCCGATTCGGATTGGGATTGGGATTGGGATTCTGCCGTTGCTGTGTCTGTGTGTTTAGTTTCCCCCCGTCTTTGAAGGCACTCTGGTCCCAATTCAGGATGCAGGTGTATCACAGTTTGCCTATCGTTATCGCAACACTCACATTTCACGTCCAGACGGGCCTCCACCACCACCGATTTGGCCGTGTAGGACTCGTGGAAGGCGGCACACCGCAGGATATCTCCGTGGCGTTCCCGCATCGCCGACACCTGCACCACCGAGGTGGCCGACCAGGTGCGTGGATTATCCGGCTCGGTGGCATTCATTTGCGGGTGGATGGGCGAGATCTCCTGGTCGCCTGGGGGGAGCAGTGAAACAAATGGGAATTAATTAACATTAACAACTACCTCTGGATAACAACTGCAAAAGGGGTGGTGCTCCTGACTGCACTTACAGAAATTAAATAGCATAGAAGTTGAAATTAAGACAAGAAAAATAAAATTTTTATTTTTTGAGAGCTACAACGTTACTTTACATCATATAAAACCATATTTTATTTTTTGTTTTTTATTCTCAGACATTTTTAAATTTTACTTTTACTTAAACACATTTTTGAGAGTGTACGTATTTATATAGCACTCTTAAAGTGAAAATATAAAGGATTTTAAATGAAATTTCGGTAAAAACAATAGGAATTCTTTAAATTCTTTAACTATGAACATACGATCAGATATTTTTAAGTTAAAACAGTAGAATAAATTATAAAAATATGATATTTAATAACCTAAGTACTTGCTAACGACTTAATTTCGATGTCGCTTAATAATTTCCTCGGTGTAAAGCACTTCTGGCCCACTTAAAAGTGCAAACATTTTGTTGTGCGTGGTCAGGGGGAATGCACTTACCCAAAAACCATTTGAGGGTGGCCGGCGGATTGCCGTAATGCGAGACGCACTTGACCGTCGCCAGAGCGCCGGCGTCTGCGGTGATGTTGTGTCCTGGCGGCACGTGGACCGCATCGTATTCGAGCCTCGGCCGCTGCGGCGCCACTGCAAACAGAAGGGGAGTGTCCTTGGCAATTAAGTCTCTGTCTCTGTCTCGGTCTCGAGGATTGACGGCGAATTAAGGGACATTTTGCATGCGCCCTCAATCGATGCGAGATTCTACATGGATTCGAGGCACTTACCACGTACGACCAGGCGCACCGGCTGGCTGGTGAGGGCATCCTGGGTGGTGAAGTCACTGGCCGTCACTTGGCACTCCCACAGTCCGTCGTCGAAGTCCAGCGTGGCGGAGCGGATCCACAGCGAGCAGTCCCCGCCAAGTTGCACCGGCGGCGGATGGAGGTCCAGATGCAGGACATTCCCATTGTCGCTCGTCGGCATACGTGAGGCCCATTCGTATTTCTTTGTATAGATGCCGACGGGCTGGGGGGTAAGGAAATAGATTTTGTTAGTTCCACTCGGAGAAAAAAGGTACACCAAAATGTGTTACTAAGATTAAACTCGGCTTTTTCCTTTAATAATATTTTAACTTTCTTTATTCTCCTTCACTGTGTTTTGAGTGAAGTTGGCTGCGCTTCATCGAGATTTATCGATATGTCCTTTATACAATAAGGAGTGAACAGCATATTCTCACTAGGATACATTAAATTACATGATGTTTACACGTAACATTTAATAGCAATGACCAGAAAGATTCTGTGATTCTTTTTCTTATAATCGCAAATTATTAGAAATGAGCATATATGTATGTAGAATATAGAAAATATTTTCAAAACTGCCTAATATTTTTATTTACAAGTCTTATTAATTATTTCTCTCTGTGTCTATTGAAGTTGAGAGAAAGGATATGGATAGGATGGAGAGCAATGATGGCGTTGAAATGAACTGGGCGTCGTCTACGACATGTTTAGCATGTTTAACTTTTCGATGCAGTCAGGCGTCTAATTTGGTCTCCGATTTGGCCAAACATACACAGACAAATCGGCGAGCTAATGGAATGGATGGGAGGAGCAGAGGAGGTGGTGGCCCCACCCGAAATTCCGCCCCAAGTTCCACCACTACCCACCAGTTTTCCGACCCACCACTACGTGTCATTTAACTCCATTTTCAGTCGTCGTTCCAGTCGCTTCTGTCGGTAAATTGGCATTAGTTTGTTTGCTAATTGGAAATTAAATTACAATTAGTGATCTCTGAGCGTGGCATCGTTCGCATTTAAGTATTTATGGGAACCGGCCCCCGAAACCCCTGGAACAGAGCAGAGCTGCCTAATTGCATTTCGGCTTTGAGTGTTGTCTGCGTTGTCCGTGGCATAATGGGTTAAATTAATTGCTACATTGAATTGCTGCCCTGGCGACAAACAATTGCTTAAACCGAGCGCTCAAATTTATTGAAAGAAAACGCAGGGAAATGCAAAAGGATAATCTAATCTCAGCTGTCCTGCCATTTGATATTCAGTGCTTAAATTTGCGGAAATGGCCACAAATGCATTTTCTTTGTCCCCGAGCTGATAAAATAAAGTGTGACATGCATTTGACCACCTTGAGACGACTGACCGGCCAGCCAGCATATAATACAGTATCTCTGTTTTATTAAACAGCTTGCGGCTGGCAGCTCTGATGTCCGATGTCTGAGATACCACCACTCCATTTGACTCCACTGACCTCCGGACCCGGGGAATAATCAATGCCCACCAAGGGTTAAGCAAAGTTTGCGGGCTTTGCGGTAACAAAAGATATGAGCTCAATGGGCGACCGAACTGCCAAACTGCCAGAAAAACAATTTCTAGCAGGGAGATAAAAAATCAAACCGAACAAATATTTGGCTCTGGCCCATTGATGCTGCTATTGCTGCCAAAACATTCTCGAATCGATATTCGTATCGGCATAATTCACCGCATATTCCAACTTCCAAGTGGAAGCTGCTAGCAACAAAATCGAGGCGAAACTCCGGAGTTTCTGGCTCTTCTTGTTTGCCTGGGCAAAAAAATGTGCGATGCGATGCGATGCCCAAAAATTACATTTATTCAAATGGCTGCAGCTAGGTTGTTGATATCATACTCGAAAATATTCTCCATTTATGCTTTGGAATTATCAGGAAGTGCACTGCACAGAAAACACAGATGAGGCATGGATAGAATTGAAAATTTCTCGACAGACATCCTTTGGCTAAATTAGAATGCAGCTCGGGAATGGACACAGCCTCCTAACCCCCATCCCCTTTTTTTTGGGACAAACGATTCCAAATGTCGCTTCTTATGATAACTACACGTAGAATATATGGACAGAAAACTATATACCCAAATGGAGGAAATTGGGAAACGTTAAGCACACATTGGGAAAAGGAGGAAAGTGGAATAAGTATGCAAAAATAAGAAGAATTTTAAATGAAGCCCGAAACAGCAACATCAGCATGTTTGTGTGTGTGCGACGCTCGATGCATGCAAATGTTGTTTGCCCTCGTCCTTCGTCCTGCGTCCTTTTTGCTTCCTTTAGCTTGTTCGAGTGGAGAGACACAAAGCATGTAAACATTTAAGTATGTGATGCAGAGCGAGAGTCTGCGATGCGCAGCATATGAAAAAGGACATTTGAAATGCTTTCTGATTTTTGTCATACAATGGCGTCGGACCAACCCCCCAACCCCCATTCCCTACCCCCTGCTGAGGACCCTGTGTGCATTTGCATAAGCAACTACCACAACAAGTGGGAAGGGAGGGGGTCGGGGTCCAAGGAGTCACTGCAGGGAGTGGCAAATAAAAGTTATGCTTCAAACGCACACAATTGCCCTGAATAACAAACGGCAACAACATATTCCCTCTCGCCTGCGCCTCGAGCTGATCCATAATGAGGCCACTTTGGATTGGTATGCAAACGAAGTCGCTCAAGGTTCGGGATCAACCAACCGCCCACAATGGCCATAACAAATGGCCACCAGACTCATCTTATATGTAAATATTATATTGAACAGTAAAAACAGGATTATAGCAAGTAAAATAGCAATCCACAAACACTACTGAAATTAGCAAAAACTTCTCATCTTATAAAGCGGAAGGTAAATGGCCACTATTTTTTTTGGTTTAATTGCAAAAACGAAGTAGGTCACTCCTCCCACAAAGGCCATTAAAAATTCTACGAAGAAGTATATAAGTTATATCGTAAAGAGACGAAATTCGACTTAAAAAAAAAAGAGTTTTCTGGTAAAATTCCTTTTGAGAAAAGAGGTTATTTAATTGCAGGCTTTATTGGGCAATGAATATGCCTTCATTAATTTTCCAAACATTTCTTAATTTTTCGTTATAGAGTTTTTATAATTGGGGAATTTAAAGTTTTAATAAATGGACTTTAAAGTAAAAATTTTATAGATTATGTCATAAGTTGAATTTAAAGTTTTATTGAATCCTTTAATAGTACATTTTAAGTCTCAACTTTATTATTATTAAACATTCGCAATGTCCATACGTGCAAAATAAATTGTTATCGAAAATGGCAAAAACTTTGGTCGTTTTAAAATCTTTTTTTTTCTGCACTTTGTTAGTTAAGGTTTAGTGAAGCCCTTAAATAAACTGGGAAGCAAACAAAACTGTGAAAAATAACCAAATCAATTAAAGCAAACAATTTTTTTTTATATAGGATCAACTGATAACCAAAATTATGTCGAGGAGAGAAGGCCAAACGATATTGTTTGCGCTGGCATGAAATCCAATTGGGGCGATCAACCCCGCCCTCCTCAGTCCTTTGCTGTCACGCACTTTCGATTAAAAGTTGCGCCGGCCAGTGTTCTAATCAACGGCGAACAAAGAAAGCCTGTCTGGGGTGTTGTTGCCAGGTCCTGTGACCCCTGACTCCTGTACCCACGGCCAAACTTTCATTATTGACTCGTCCTGGTCAGGGTGTAAATTACATTCGCCACATGTGGAGGCCAAAAGAACAACACTTAATTGAACCGCAGGACGCGCCACGCATATGATATGAGTTTTCTAGCCAGGACACGTCGGTGGCCGTGTGTGTTGGCTGGTGTGCCACTAAAGTTCGGTTGTTTGGGCTTGGTCGGGACTTTTGGCCAAGTTATGAGTTTAATCAAAATGTTTATAAACTGGGGCCCCGCCGCCATCGATAGATGGGCTCGGTGAGCTGATATAATTACCTTGTTATCCTTTTGCCAGGAGCACGTGCCGCGCTTGTCGATAACTTTGCATGTGAGCAGCGTGTCCTCGGCGGGATTCACCTCCGTGTACTTGGGCTGCTCCGAGAATCGCTGGAAGGACTCGATTCCTGCAAGAAAGGAAAGGGAAAATCGGTGAGAAAATGGCAAATGGCGGATGGCGAAAGGGGAAAGGGGAATGGCAAATGGAAAAAGTGGAATGCTGGGTCTGTCATTTACATAAACTACTTCCGCCGAGGGTTTCGGTTCCGGCTCAGCCCGCTGCGCATGTAAGTATGCTACCATTTCGTAACCCTTCTATAAAATCGCTGGCTGCATTTGTCACGCCCCCACACCAACACAGCCTCCCCCTGAACCCACACTCGCATACACTCACATCCACCGACAACGCGGGCAATTATGAACGCTTCACAGAATGGCGGCCATTTGCTTATCTTCACACCCCCATCCTCCCCCTTTTTGTAAGTGTGTGTGTGTGAGGGCTTCTTTCATTATCATTTGGCCGCTTTCTCCCTTTTTTATTTTATTTCTGTACGCGCAGCGGAGAATTTATGTTAATTGCTGGCATGTTGAATATTTTCTCCGCACTTGCACTCAATTACACCAATTACAGGTTGGAAATTACACGCGCTGCTTGCTCAAGATAATGGATGTGGCTCCTGTGGGAGGTGGGAAGGGGCGTGGTCCGCAAGTTTGGGTTGCCTAATGTTAGGGGCGCTGAACGTAAGAACCTGCTGAGGCATTCCACTCCCTCGAAAGCACTGACAAATATTCAAGAGCGGAAGGCTTGTTAAGACAATTGTGTTCCTAAATCATCATCTTTAGATCTTGAGAGCTTCACTAGCAGAAATATTTTCATTTCTCCTTGAATATGTAAATCTCTGCAATTATAGTGTTAACCGAATATTTAGCCAATAAAAATATAATTAGAAAGAAAATTTATAAAAAAATGTAGAGCCTACTATCCTATTTTCTTTTAATTCGAATATCTTTTTCCACTGTATGGATTTTATAATGTTTAATGTTAAATTTATAATCATTAGTTATTGCATTCAAATTTATGTGAACTTTAACAAAACTGTTGCAGATGAAAATTGTATTCTTAAAATAGTCTTAGTATAACAAATTCTTGCGAGCTTGTCTTTTACCTATTTTATCCTTGAGTTTCAACTTCTTTATAATTATACCTATTGATTTCAAAATGCCAACTGTTCTACCGATAAAAATATTTTTGGTATTTCATTTATTAAACGAGAGAAGAAAACTTTAATTTTAGAGTAGTAGTATGGGTATTAAATGTATTGAAAAAGATGCAATATCTTATTTCAAATGAAGGAGTTTAAATGGGGCCAACCGCAAACGTACTAACAAAAAGTGCAGAGTTTATTTTCATGAATTTCCTTTCTCTCTGTAAGAAAGCCAGTCAGTTGGTCAGCAGGTTGGGGCTTTGGCTTTGCTTCGATATCAAGAGGTCAAGGATTAATTGAAGCCTTTTGGCTTTTTAATTGCTGTTTGCGTAGCCAATCCGCACTTGTCATCGCTCACAATGGGCCACCGTCGCTTTTCGGCTTTTGTTTGGCTGTCAACTTGTGCTTTTCATGCGTGTTTGGGCAGTTTTCCTGCTATGCAAGGGTACATATATAAATGTGGGTATAAAAACTCCGGTTGGTCTCATTGCGTGTGTTAACCACACGTGACTGCCGTTAGCCCGCTGAGTTTCCGTCTTTTCCGCCGCCTGTTTGACCCGCCAAAGGCTACACAAACTGGGCAAACAAGTGTATGTATATAATGGGTGCATGGAAACATTCGCTCACGCAATGATTTATTACGCGTGATTGGCGTGATTGCCACTTTGCTGCCTTATTTCAGACTTCCCGCGCCGGTGTCGCCGGTTCCGCCTTTATCGGGCTTCGTATAAATGGGCTTTGTATTTCAATTACACAGCCAACAGGAGTTACCCAACTTTTGGGGTCTGATTTATACGGGACGGGAGGACCTTACTTCTGAAACATTCCTGCAGGCCTCTTAATTTCTGCGTGACCAAACGGGAGCAGGCCCACTTAATTGAAACGCATTGGAATGCAAAGATTTGCCATGCCGGAAAACCACTGGCAAACAAAAATAAAGCGATGCCGCAACAGTGAAAGTAAACACAGCAGAGCTGAGCGAAACCGCTGGAGCCTATTTGCAGGGCAAATAAAAATATTAAAAATAAATAAGCAGTAGCAACGAAATTTGAGCCTTAAAGGAAAAGTGCGGCCCCAGCTGCGCTCGTCCTGCGTCCTCCTTTCGGGGCGGAGCAAGGCAAATAGACAAGGATCCGGGCTCCGGAGCCAGCTGCGATTGCAGTTTTAGCTGCCCTGGTCCGGGTCCTTGGATCCTGGGATCCCGGGCTTCAAGTGCGTGCCGCTGAGTGCTGCTTATAGGATTGTTTCAGCTCCTGCAGCACGGCTCGTGCCGTGAAGTGGCGTTGTTGTTTAGCCTGCTCCTCCTCCTGCGTGTCCTGTTCGTCCTCTCTGCCTCTTTTCTGTCTCCTCCCTCTTTCTGTCCATGTTTTAAGGGCTTTACGTGCCTGTGCACAGCCAGCAAGGATAACAATTACTCTAGTGGCATGTCCACCATCCAGTGTCCCGCTATCTGCTGATGCTTTTAAGAGATACCCTACACGGTCTACTGGAAAATGGCATAATTGGGAAAAGAGAAATTTAAAAAAATAATATAATTAGCTAATAAGCCATTTAGCACAACAAATTATGGTAACATAATAACTAAATAAATTATACCTCAAATATTTTTAATAACCACGAATCGCCCATTTATTTCCTGCTTTCTGCTTTACAGGGTATAATAAATTCAGTTCAATTCGAATTTATTACGATTGCTTGTTTTCAATTGTTTAGCGGTTAAATAAACGACTGTTTAAACACATTTTTGTGTTGGTTTTTCCTCTCCGCTGTGCAATGTGAATTTATAGTTTCCCCCATTCGGCCACCGTCCAGTTTCCACTTTTCCGCCACTTGCCGCTCTCCAATATGTCAGACGCACATTTCGGTGTTTCACCCCCAACCCCATCCTAGTCCCCTTCCTCATCCCTCAAGCTGTCTAGTGCCAAGCTGCCTTTGCTGTGCTGCTGCTGTTTACTTTTGATGATGCATTGCAGCGTAATAATTTCACGTAGACGTCCACGGCACGCAACAAACGACAAATGGCCAGGGGAACTACTCTACACTGCTAAAAAAATATGTTGCTATTCGGTAACTAAATTATAAAGTGATATCTTAAATATAGGAAAATCTAAAAAAATTAGGTGAGCCTAATATAAACAAAAATAATCACAATTTTGTAATATTTTATCTTAGTTATTTTTTCAACTGTAAGAGGCGGTAGGAAATCAAATGGGTCAACTGGTCGCGGCCCAGCTCTTAGCATCTGGTCAGTTATAAAATGCTGTTTGGGCCCTTCAGCTGCCGGCCCCCGGCGACATTACTCATACGCAACGTGGCCCAGGGATTTTTCCCACCAGCAGTTTAAGCACGCCGAGAGCATGAAGAAACTGGCGGAAATTTAAGGAAAATTCCCACCGGCAGTCAAGGTGCTTTGAGCCACCATTCACACACTCACCATTCACAACTCACCCACTCGATTCACCCACCCAAGGTGCCGCACAAAGTCCCCATTCACCTGGCTCACTTTGGCTTTGTCGGCAATCAATGAAAGCAATTTGTGAATCTCTTGTGCAATTCGGCGACATACAAACGAGCTCAAGGACACTCACAACCCATACCCGCTCACAAAACACCCGGGAGGATATCCCGGGAAAGGTATTGGCAGTGGCGATGAAAAATCTTGTATGCAAATCAAATATGCAAGATGATTTGTAAATTTTTCCAAATGTATTTTATATAAAACCCAACAAACGAGGACGATTCCCCCCGCAGGAGCCGCAACAACAGGATTCTCCGGCTTAAACTTTTTAAACCTGTTCCGCATCATCGACCCATCCGCCATCCCAACCGCTTCCTATCCCTCGAAGGTGCTAAGCAAACATGCAAGCTGTGAGGATTATAAAAAGTAGCAAAGAAAGCCGGCAGGATGAGGATGCGAAAAAGGATAGCCCCGACAAACAGCCACCCGAAAAAAGGAAGGAAAGAAAGGCAACAAACAAATCCAAACCTCCTTTCCCCTCCTCCTCAACACACATACTTAGTCAGATCCCGTTTCTTTGCCTCGCATGTTCGCATGTGCTAAGCTTTTTGTAGATACCCCCCCTCAAAACGGGTGGGTTCTTTTTTTTTCCACCCCACCCGACCGCCTACTTAGGCATAATGATATATTTAGCTTGCCAAGTGATTGTTATTTGATATTCAACAGATTTCTGCTCTTCGCCAGACTTTGTGTCTCCCTCTTCGGATGATGGGCCACGCCCTGTAAAGGTTAAATCGATGCGTGCTTGTATTATTTCATGAGCTTGGAAACATCTATTCAGCATCCTCCAACGCTGCGTATGCGTAACGCCTGTCAAGTGCCAGCTGACCGGTCAGCTGCATATGAAAAGTGATTTGTAAACTGACAAAGTAGCCCCTCTTCAAGTGATGGCAAAATATAGCAAATATTCCCCACTCCCCGCCCGTTTACATTTCGAATAGACGATGAATGACACGTTTTGTCGCTTACATTTTTCATATTTTCATAGCTCATTGACTGCCGAGCGAAATGGCTTGGAACGGTTCAACCTGCTTACCCTGGCCCCGCATTTCCCATATCCCATTTTCCCCAACTTTCCCCACTTTTCCCACCCACTTTCCTTGTTGTTTGACACTCGAAGTTTATGCATTTATTTGTAGCAGGCCGTCGAGCTGCTGAGTTTGCCCGAGTCGTTGATTTATTGTATTGTACTCGCTGCCATTGTAATATTTGTGTCTGAGTGCCCCACTTGAACGGTGTGTGTATGCCGTGTGTGTGCGGATTCATATGGCAGTCGTCGAGTGGCCACTAGAGTTTATGTATGTAATTTTTATATAATTCCTAGGACCGCCTTCAACTGCAGTCGTCGCAAAGTTTCACTTGCCTTTATGGCCCACTTAGCACCATTAATGTCTATGGCCATCGATCACGCAGCCAAGGATTGCGTTTTAAATCCGAAAAAGGGTCCCGAAACGAAATTGGTGGTCACATATTTCCCTCGGCCCGGCCATAAGCCCCCGCACACGGCTCACTAAATATGCAAAAAGGGACTTTTCCATGAAAGGATTTACCTGTCGCATGCGAGGCAATTAGAAGTGGAAAGCGAACAGAATAGGTCGGAAATTTTCGATCGGGTTTGCGATTGGCCGATAAAGCCCCATCGAAATTGTGACAAATACGCGGCAGTAACAATTCATTTAGATAAATCAACGGGAGCCAGACAAATGAAGCCATTAGCCCATTCGTGACCGTAAATAAGTCAGTTAAAAAAAGAGGCCTAGGCGAAGATTTAGATTTTCCAATAGGACGACATTGTTGCAACAGCAATCAAGCGACTGACAAACAATGACACTCAATTTCCAGCCGACAAGCGATGTTGCTTATTAATTAAACTGATTAAATTGCACGTTGCGTGTGGCTGGCACTTCCATTGATTGGCCACCAATCACATTCGGACAGGGAACTTGGCTTGGCCCGGACTAGCAGGCAGCACTTTGTCCGAATTAATACCGCCTGCCAAAGTTGTAATGTTGATAATCAGAGTCGTCATAATAATAATAATAATAATCATAATCAAGGCAAGGCAAAGGCAAGCGCAAATTGAATTATTTCATTAAGGGCCGAGTGTGGCCGATGTTTGACTTGGTTGCTGATTGAGTGGCTGACTGGCTGATTGATTGATTAGATTCAGTTTAGGCCAGGTCGTCACACGAGTACCCTTCCTCCTGCAGTGAGATGAGCTCAGTTAGCTGGCTGCACTCTATTATACTAACTGGTTGCATAAAATGTGTCCCATCCGGAAGGGACAACCCCCTCCCTTAGCGTTTTGCATTCTGCCAGGACTTGAGCACGTTGTTCCCATCTTTCAGCTTCCCCGGGGCCGTTCACTTTGTTGCTCGTCTTTTGCAGGCACTTAATGTGCTGCTCCACCCCATCCACCCCCCCCTCCTGCAGAAAACAATGCAGTGGGTACATGGCACACGGAATGACAAGCAGACACAGGCGAATTTCAGCACGGAAGCGGAAGTCATTGTTGTCGCACAAAGGCGAACGCGTCGCAATTATAATAATTTTGATTGCACGCCGCCAGCCCCGCCAGCTTGTTATGGTGGATGGTTGGATGGTGAATGGTGGTGCAGTGGTATCCTGCCTGAATAATGCAAGGAAGGAGGGGGAGGGAGGGAGTTCCCAGGGATGAGGGGCACACGTGCCTCACTTTTGTGTTCGCCCCTCGCTTTTATGGATCTTTTTTAATTACGAGTGCTAGACAACGTCTGATGGGAGTGCAGAAAAAAAGAAGAGAAATCCAGGAGTATGAGGTGAATTGAGCCACTCTCGACAGCACCATCATCATCATCATCGTCTTCTTCAGATTCCATGACCATCTCCTGTTTGTTGGCAATACCCAACTAATTAGCTACACAAATAAGCAATTAACTGGGTGGGTGGGTGTACGGTGGTGGGGGGCAGTTGGTGGTCACTTAATTACACAAATTATTTGCCACAAAAACCTCAAACTCGAAGGCTCCGACTCGAGTGCACTCAAGGACATGCAGCTAACAAAGCAGTCGAGATGTAATAAGGAGCTATGAATGTGTGAGTTACTGTAAGTGGATAGGGGTGCCTGTGTGTGTGTCGACGGCTTGGTCCTTGGTCAGCAGTTTGACCAGCAGAAAGAAAGGAAAACAATTTTCTTGAAAGCTTTGATTTGACTAAGTAAACTGGAAAATCCCGGGGAGCCGCAGAGGCAAAGAGAGGAGCTAAGTCGGGAAAGGGATACGACAGAAAGGAGACAACTATCATTTGCTTTTAATTTGACTCGAGGGCGTAATTAAAGAAAAATGCCAAGCCAAGCCAAAGTCCTTTGATTGTCGGCCCGGAGCCTTCTATTGCCTCCTTGCCAGCTTCTTCTCGGCTGGAAATGCAAATCCTGACAGAGAACACGACCCACTCCCTGCCTTTCTGCCTGAGAAACAAACACGGAAAAAGAAGGAAGATGAAACAGGGAGATGCCAAAAGAGAGAGCCGTAATACGTTAATTGTTTTAAGAAAACAGGCTGAGACTGCATGTCTTGAAGGACATAAATCCCGTTTAACCTGACGCTGCAAAGCCAGACACATTGGCACGAAGCAAACGAAAAAAGGGCAGAGGAGTTGCTGGCACAGTCCTCCGGCTAACACATAAATTCAGCTCCTTTATTCCAGTTGCATAACATGTCCTGCGACACCGACAAAAAACACAGTGAAACCACCCGAAGACAGACCGACAGACGTGTTATATATAACGGCAACTTTTGCTGCTGACTTGGCTGGAGAGATGCATTAAAACGGAATGATCGACCTAGGGTTACTCAGTGAAAATACCTAATTTTGAATTTTTTGTATCAAACCAAAATTTTAAAATTAGAAAATATTGAAGCAAGGCCTCTCAAACAATAATTAATTAATTGTTTTAAAAGATCACATAATTTTTTTATCATAAATGTGAAAAAAATTCTCGTTTAACATTGGTCCATTAAGAGTAAACAAATTATTCGGATAATATAAGAAAATTCAAAAATGTATAAAATTGTTAAATAATATAAATCACAAATAATAGTAATTTTAAGAGCCTCGCTGAAAACGTTAAATCCTCTTAAAATCTGTTGCCTTAATTCATCTCAAAACCATCTAATTCCCAAGCTGCGCATACCCTCGTGTGAGTTACAAGTAATGTGCATGTGTTAAAAAAAGTGTCAAAAAACTAACAAGTTTAAATAGTGGAAGAGGGACTTTTGCGGGGAGAAGAGGGCTGCTTGCAGCAGCAGACGAAGTTATGCAAAGTCAGCAGAGGACATTGACATGCGAGGAGGTCCTGTGTGTGTGTGTGATTCAATTTGCAGTTGCGTCTCTGCAGCCAGGAGCATAATCACCCACACCAAGGACTCGGCAGTCAAATTGCCATATTTCATCTATGACTTTTATGACTTTTTCTTTTATTTTTCAACACTTTTTAGCAGGTTCCAATTGAAGTTTCCAAGGGATACGAACTTCGCCGCCTCGCAGGTTGACGCCTAGGCGAGATTGGTCTCGATGTCCCCGACGCACTGGGTGAAGTATTCCCTGGCCAACCGACACTCTTCGCTGTCCACAAAGAATTGGCCGGGACACTTTTGCATGGCGTGGATGCGGAGACATATGGTAATCTGCATGGAGAAGGGGTTGCAGGGCTCCTCGATGAAATCAATATCCGGCAGATGGAGGGTGAATCGATTGCCGTGTGACGATCGGAAAATGTGGCATTTCTGATAGGCATCGATCAGGAAGGGAATCGATTTCTCCTGCGGCTGGGGTGCAAAGCCCTTCAGGTTGATGCGGATGTTGGCCAGATCCAGGCGATAGGGTGGATCGATTTCAATGTAGCCGGAGCCAATGAAGTTGCACTCCTCAATGCACTGCGTTTTTACGGGATCAAATGAGGTTTCTTAAGATTGGTTTAAGCTATCAGCTCACCATGTTAATCGTGTAGAGCTCGGCAAAGTTAAATTTTCGGTTGGTTGGCAAATTGAGGCTCTTTCTGCACTCTGCATTGCCTTTGTCCAATCCGGGACGTGTTAGTTGGCAGCATCTGATTGATAAATCCTGACAGGATATGTGATATTGTATATCTCAGAGTTTTGTACTCACATACTGCGGCTCTTTTTCTTTCCAACTTGCAATCGATTTCACAGTTCATCGGGGAAAAGTAACTGATCAGCAGCTGAGAGATACAATTAATCCTTAAGAAACTCCTTATAACAGCTTTACAACTTACTAAAGCCAAAACAGCCAACGACCCAGGTGACATTTCAAAACTGACTGATCCATAAATCTATTATTTTTTCCGAAATGAGACAACCGATTATACAATTATAATATGCTTAATTGACCAGAATGAAATTAATTATTGATATTAATCATTGTTTTTGACGCCACCACCTGATACGTGCCATAAAAAAATCCCACACCTCCGCGACATTATGAAACATCGATGTGTAGCCCGACAAAAGTGCAATACAATACGGCCGGGCCGCAGGACGTCTTGATTAATTGGGTTGGCACGCCATCAGATTACGTATACGTCACGTTGCCAGCCTCAAGGTCGAACGGCTTGGCCTGGCCCGCTGTGAGTTAATAAATTGTTTGGCGTTGTTAACTAAATTTTGATTACCCCAGGCAAAGGTCGAAGTAGGTGGGGAGAGGAGGGAAAAGGGCAACACTCTTTTCTTGATTTATTGATATGCTAATTGAGTATTTGCACGTCGCTCGCCTTGGTCCTTTTTTAATGGCTCAAAGAGTGCGTCGGCGTGTGGGTTTCGGTGGCCATTGGAAGTTATGAGCCATGGCACGCCATTTGCATGGCAGCGTGTTGTTCAAATTAATTGTAAATGGTTGTAATTTGCTGTTGCTGGCGGTCCGTTCGCTTTTCGCTTTTACAGTTTAATTGCAGCTTAAGGGGGCGGAGCGCAAAAGGGGGAGGGGCCGCGAACTTGGACCTTCGAGAGAGCAGCGGGCAGGCTTAATTAATTTATGGCCATGGCCATGTGCCCTTCCCTTCCCTTCCCCTCCCCTGCCCTCCCTCCTTCCGCTTAAATACACGTCATTTGAAGTTTGAGCGTGTTTAACGTGACGTATGAGTGATTTATGTTGATGGAGTGCACATTAAGCGATGTTGAGGCAGTTAAACTGCCAAAGGGTCATCAATTGAGTTGATGTGCAAGGACTTAAGTCGAGGCCTTGGCCCTGGTCCCCCTTTCCCTTCTCCTCAATCTGCATTGTTGCGTGTCCTGGCCTCCCCCTTTTCTCCCAGTGTCTGTGTGCCAGAAAGCGGCTTAGTTCGCTTTGTGAATCGCCGATGGCTGTATAAATAACATGTTTATGTATAATGAAGATTTTTGCAAATAAATGACTAGGCAAATACTTAAGCCGCCCGCTGACAGGCAAACGCTTGGGGACTTTTTCTAGCATAATTACATGAATACAAGTGGGAAATATTAAGGCTGCTGTTTCTGATTTTTGTTGCTTGTCGAGGTCCTGTGTCCTAATGAAAATATATATACTCTTTCGATTCGGTACATAAAGTATGTAAGTTTATTTTTATAAATAGTATAACAAATTAAAAAAATATTTAGTATTAATAATATTAATAAACATTAATTAGTTATTTCGGAACAAAATTATATTTATTTTATTTTTCTCAAAAAGAGTATCGAGTCTTTCTTGTGCCCCTCTCACATATTTTCCACCCCAAGTGCTGGTTAGTTTTGCACGCAATTTAATTATATCTACAGGGTTTTCCCCTTACCTCCAAGCGACCCAAGCCTGTGTGTCGAAATTAGTAGGAAATTGTTAATGCGATAACAGATTTTCCCAGAGTGTGCGCCATGTAAAGCTTCTTTTGGCCCGGTTGCCTGGCAGCCGTGCAAAAAAGGGCCTAGCGGAGTGCGGGTATTTTTATTGTGCCAAAACAGATTTAAGGTAAGTCCGACTTTAAGCAAAGGAAGCTAGTTGAAGACTACAGGATGAAGGTTATTCAGGACTCAGGATTCAGAGGGCGGGTGCTAGAACGCCAGAACATGGCACATAAATCGTTGGCAGCTCACGAGAAAGTAGAGCTCCGAGAGCTGAACACACGGTTAGCAAGTGAGAAATTCCATTGAAAATGCATTTGTGGCGAACGTCGTGGTTGGCCAAGCCAAGCCAGAAAGGGGGAAGTGGTGGGATTTCGTTGGCAGCTAAATTAAAGACGCAACTCACGTGGTTGCTGGCCAAAAGGAGGCGGGGAAGCTGTCGCCCTCGCCCCGCACATAAATCAGTTTTAAATGCGTATAAATAAATTGGCCAGCAGGTGGGTGGGTTGAGGGTGGTGGGTGGTTGGTGCACTCCTAGCCAAGAGAGGTCATGGTCTTATGGTGTCATGGTCTCATGGTCTCCTGCTCGCCACAAGCAAAACTCCCAGCTTAATCCAAACACTTCGTTTTGACAATTTATGCGCGCAGATTGCCAGGAGAGTGTAGAACAAGGGGGCATGTGTCGCCATGTTTGTCTTGTATCTTGGCTGCTTAGCAGAGACTTGGTTATTTATTTAAGCCTTTAATGCACGGCGGAAAACTAGTTTCACTTCACCAGAAAAATGGTTTTGATAAAGAAAATAAAGCACCGTTCTTAGTTTATCAAATAAACGTTGTTAAATATTTCCTAAAAATAAAACTGGCACTTTATTATATAATAATATTTTTCCTTAACATGCTCAAGCTCAGCCTAAGTAAAAGATCCAAAAATATGGATTATTATTATGCAGCTGAGCATGAATATTGTTTCTACCCGTGTAGATCCTTCCTTTGAGCTGCTCACTCCACAGCCTCATCTCATCCACTTGACTGCGTTTAATCAAAGAGATTTTCGTTACAAAATTTAACTAATTTACTTTGTTACCATTTTGCTTTTTTTGGCAGTACAATATTTGCTCTTTCACTGCCGAACAACCAAGAGGGCCTTATTGAAATTTCATAGTCTAATTTTGGGCGCAAATTAAATTTTAATTACGCGCCCTTTCCGCTTCCCCTTCCCCTTCCTCGTCCTTTTCCGTTCGTGGATGGCTTTTTGCAGCTCGATTGGCTTAATTGGAAACGCTTCCTGCACGTATGTATACTGTGTGTGTGTGGGCAGATGGCAGAGGCACTTTGATGCCTTTGACAACATTTGTGTGTTGGGTTCCCGGAACGCGTCATTAATTTTTAACCCTTGCCCTGGCCATATTTCCACTCGTGGCAAACAAGATTAAACCATTTCCTCCTGGCACGCAGACATTTGGGCGCCCCTCGATATAACAAATATATGTGCAGCGGAAAAGTTGTGCTTTCATACGCAACCAGAAAACCAGAAACCAGCCAAAAAATAACGAAATTACCCGCTTTTCCCTGTTTGCCCAACACGATGATAAGTAAGCCACAGGAAAGGGCAAAACAACACACTAGACAGATGCTTTTTGCAGATGTTGTTCGGTTGCATTTCACTCGGTTTTTGTCAAGGCGGAGGTGCAGAATTTGAAATTAAAGTAATTTCATTTGGTAACCGGAAAAACGTTAGATATTGATGTTTATTTTTTTTGGCAAGCAGGTTAATTGGCAACTCTGCCATTCACCTGCATTGCTTTTAATCAACTTTTTCTATTGAATTAAACAAATTTGTTTCTAATTTGGGACACAGAATCCGGAGAGCAAACAACGCTGGGCCCCCAGCTCGACCAGTTCGGCAATGTGGATCATATTTGCCAGCAGTATTTGCAGAGCAGGGAATTCGGGTAGCAAACTGCAGAAAGGCGAACTTCATCAGCAAATTAAATCTTTGCTCTTCTGCTTGGCAAAGAGCTTCGAACTGAATGTAGTATGCATGTTAACCTACACCCAAAATCGTGAGTTTCTCGGTGACAGTGCGCCAGTCAGTCATAATTACATCCAAATGGAGACACCCAGCAGCCATGTCAGTTGCACTTCATTAAATTCGCAAAAAAGACGGGAAATTATATGACAGGGCGGAAGTAAATATGCAAACTTTTTCAGCGCTCGACTAATGAATTTCAATAAAAGTTTTCCACTTTTCCGCTGGCGCCATTGTTGAGCGATCTATCACGCATTTCCCGGCCTCGACGAGTCCTGAATCCTGACTACCCCCTTTTGCCCCCTGGCCACCATGTTGACATTGACAAGTTGGCAGGCGAAGCGAAATGCAATCAATATCCAATATTTACATGTATTCCATTCCACAACCATTTGGATCGGGGGGCGGGGGTTTAAGGGTCGAAATTGAAATGCAGCTGCAACATAAAATAGATGTCAGTTTTGCTGGAACTGACAACAAAACAAATTGAAAAGAAAATGGCAGCAGAACGGGTAGATAAGCTCACACACACACACCTTCGGCTTCCTCCCGCATAATTGTAATCAGTGTTTGCAATCATTTGCGCCATTTTGCCCATCGAAATGCAGACCGAAAGTATGCAATCCTCCGCTGCAACTCAATTGTAGGCTGACCCCTGACCCCAGCCATCCACCTACATGTGTTGGCCACCGAAAAATGAAGGGGCAGAAAGGGCTGCGAATAACGCGGCAAAAAAAGCCAGAGCCACTACTATGAAGCAGCTTCAACATAAAATTTTACGAGTCGTTTACACAAATAGCAACACTGTTGCCAATAAACGCCGCCCCCTCCTCAACCCTTGACCCCACTCTCTTGTAGGTCTTGTACCCCTCCCCCTTCCCCTCACAGTTATACCATCTACATCCTCCCACAAAAGTCCAAGAGCGCTCGTTTTTGCAATTTTTATATTGTTCCAAAATGTTTTCGTTTCAACGCTTTTATATTTATTTTGTGCACAGAAAAACATTGCTTGTAGCGGCCCCTCTTACTGCACACCACTGCATTGTAAAGGGGGTGAAAGGGGTGTGTGTGCGTGTTGTGTTTGCTAAAATAATGGATTTTTATGCGCATTTGTTTGCACGATGTCGGCGACGGAAGTGGCGGCACGGGATGAAATCGGGCGGGGGGATGTCCTCGGATGGCTTTGTTCTCGGTGGCGCATTCGCGAAAATGATTGGAAAAATCAGTAAAGTGAAAAAGGACGAAACGGGAAGGCGACAATTTGAAAACGAACTTTTTATACACTTCGAAGGGTAGCAGGTTGTTGGTTAACTTATTGAAAATACATATTTCTAAAATATAAGCATAAGAAATTTTATAGACATAAATTATAACCACTATATAAAAATTATTTTAAAATAGAAAACTGTAAATTTATTGAAAAATCTT